GTTGGGAGTATGAATAAGATTGCATTGACAAAATGTCTTAAGTTTGAGCCTTCTGTTGCAAGAGGCAGTTGAGAAGTAATGTGCTTTGACCCCTTCTCAGACGCAAGACTAAAATGTAATACTCTGGGAACAAATGGAGTACAAGATATTTTCTTTCCCCCACCTTCCCAGTCTGTCAGTTTTGGCAGTGCTGTTTTTTCTGTCATGCTACCTAACATAAGCAGCAAATCCAGCTCTTTAATAGCAATCCAGATTGTATCAGTAGATTACCACTGCTCTCTTTACAATCCTTCAGAGCTATGGCCTAATAACTTATCCTGTCTATTTTCTGTCTTTTTTTTTAATTGATCTGAATGAGCAGCCAATGTCAGAAATAGCTGGTGGAAAAACATTTTCTCTTCTTTTGGTGCTGTTTTTAGTGGTGATGTATAAAGACAACAGAAGTTAAGTTCATTAGACAACTCCATCTAATGCAAAATTTTGTATCTTTTCCTTCAGTGCACCCTACATCCATATCCCTTTCTATAACAACCTGTTCAATGGCTTCTGTTGTTGATCCTGTCATTAATCTCCTTGATCATCACCTACTCAGTAATGTCTCCTTTTCTTCCCAAAAAATCAGCATATTTCTGGTTACGGAAAAAGAGCAAAACTTGTCAAACTAAGGATGTTTCCGCTCAGATGCATTCTTTCTGGTGATACTCCCTTACCTCTCGCCTGCAAAACTGAAAATCAGTGTGTCTGACTTCTGGTTATCCTTTTTCCTGAGAACACACACAGTAGAACATAAAATCATTCCATAAAGTTTGAGTTAGGTTTTTTTGTTGTTGTGTAAAAGCCTACACAACCACTTCACTGTATTTCAGACTGTCTCTATCTCTTCTCAGATTGACATATATTGAGAATTTTAGTGCTGTGATAGCTAATCAGCTTATTTGTATTCAGTCTTATTTTTATTAATTTGGATTTGTTTGGTTTTTATAAGATCAGGTTACTGATAGAAACCTCCTCTTCATGCATGGTAGAAGAATGGATAGATGTTGGAGGCTAATTGACATTTGAATTATTAACTTACACCTCTTTTAGGAATCAACTAACCTGTAAAAAGATATCCTTAAATCAGAGGACAGTTTTGGTAAGAAGACCTGGTCTGGAGATACACAACATTACTGCTTTGAATTAACCCCTCCCCCCCCCCTTTTTTTTTTTTAAGATATTTCTCACTGCTGTCTTTTATTTCCCCCTTTGCACCATACCCTGTCTACCAGTAGAACTGCATATGCACTTGCTTTCAGTCTCCTATCAAAATCATCTGGGTTTAAGCTGACAGGAACAGGTTAGACAATGACTAATATCTGCAGTTTTGCAAGCAGGTTTCAGGGGACAGTAGCCTGGGTGGGAGGAGGAATGAGAGAAGATGTTATGAGCCACAGGGGTCCATAACATCTTATACTTGGCTCAGCTACAATCAGAAGCTTATCTGACTATAGGCTATATGTCCACCCAGGGAAACTAGTAGAGGCTAGGAATTACATATAGACTGGCAACTGGAAGTGCAATTTATGCCTTCCTGTAAGGATAAGCCATTAGACATTAAAAGTACCTTTTTTGTTGTTTTGTTTTGAATACATTATATGTGTGCTTAATCTAGAAAGCAGATTTTCTAGGTCAACGAATTATTCTAAGAATAAGCATTAGGTTTAATTATGATCTACTTAGTCCTGTACTGTGCAGAGACTGAAGTGTCTGCAGCAACCTCTTATCTCTTGTGGTATCTGTGCTGGTGTTCTTTCATGTTATAACAGGTCTTTTCCTCAAATTGGAGGTAGAAAGATTTAGTAGTATTATCTACACTAGACTACAGTCCTTAAGTCTGTTTGGCTCTATGCTGAGTCTTATGCTAAGATCTAGACATATGCAGGGATTTGAGCTCCTAACTTCCCTCAAACTTCAATACCAACTATGAGCATAAGTGTTCCTAATGAAATTCAATTTGTGTTCTCTTAAGTCCAGAAGAACTGTCAAAGTGACAGTGTTGTAAATGTGCTCAGCTTGGTACAGCTCTTACTTATGGTCAGTCTTTGATGTATGCTTATTTTGAAGGAAGCTATGCAATATTGCCTCTACTCAGCATATATGTTACATCTGTGAGCAGTAAAGGCATGGTCCCTTGGGTCTTGCAGATAGTCCTCGCATAAAGGGGGGAAGTGATTAAAATATTTTGATCACTGGTCAACTAGAGACAGGACAGGTCTATTAGAGGGGACGAACCTTGTTGTGGTTTAAACCCAGCTAGCAACTAAGCACCATTCAGATGCTCACTCATTCCTCCCCCCACCCCCTGATGGGATGGGGGAGAGTATCAGAAGAGTAAAAGTGAGAAAATTCGTGGGTTGAGATAAAGACAGTTTAATAGCTAAAGTAAAAGCCACACAAGCAAAGCAAGACAAGGAGTTCATTCACCACTTCCCATGGGCAGGCAGGTGTTCAACAATCTCCAGGAAAGCAGGGCTCCATCATGTGTAATGATTACTTGGGAAGACAAATGCCATTGCTCTGAACGTCATAGAATCACAGAATGGTTTGGGTTGGAAGGGACCTCAAAGATCATCTAGTTCCAACCCTCCTGCTATGGGCAGGGACACCCTCCACTAGACCACGTCCCCCCTCTTCCTTCTTCTTCCCCCAAACTTTATATGCTGAGCATGATGCCATATGGTATGGAATATCCCTTAGGCCAGTCCGTGTCAGCTGTCCTGGCTGTGTCCCCTCCCAACTCCTTGTGCACCCCCACCCTACTCACTGGTGGGGTGGTGTGAGGAGCAGAAAAGGCCTTGGCTCTGTGTAAGCACTGCTCAGCAGTAACGAAAACATCCCTGTGTTACCAACACTGTTTCCAGCACAAATCCAACACACAGCCCCATACTGGCTACTATGAAGAAAATTAACTCTATCCCAACTGGAACCACAATGAACCTATAAAGAAAAGGTCTAATATTTTAAACAGGTTGTAAAAGTGGTTTTATTTTTTTCTCTGCTAGATCTTGAAGCCTGCTTTAATTTGGAGGCTTTTAGCCTTGAGGTCAAGTTATCTTTGCTCTTGCCCAGAACTGTACAACACTGCTTCCTCGCTAATCCTTTCTTGTGTATTACATGAAGGAAGCTTTACTGCTCACCTCAAAGGAATGTGTAGTTGGCATGTCTATAGGGTATCTGTGTTCTATTCCTTGAACGGTTGTGAGATGCCATTGCTGGAGTCCATAGCTCCAAATTAGCGTAAGGAGTTCTTGCCTCTTTTGGACATAACAACAGCTATTAGTCAGTAATTTAAAAAATTAAAAATATTTTCTTCACTACTTTGTCTCTTCAAGAAGGAGATTTGTTCACTTCCCTTCCTCCTCCTTTCTTTCTATACCAAAATAGCTAGGTGGATGAGCTAAAATACTGGGATTTCTCTTCCTTTGTCTGCTTAAGCTCTACTTTTTAAAAGCTCCAATGGAATACCTAGTTTTGCAGTCGTGATCCGACTTTGCTTATTTTTTGCCATTGTCTGATGGACAGGATAGAATTACAATCTTCCTATTTGTTAATTGAGTTCCTTTTGAACCATTGTCTTATATTGCACCTGAAACCACTGCTGCCAACTGTAATGCTGCCTGAGCAGTACATGAAAGTACTATATGTGTCTAATGCTGTGAGCATTTGTAATCTGTACTTTTTTCCAGTAAAACTAAGTTGTGAGTATTTCGGTATACAGCTTACAACTAGTTGCATGAAATCCTAGTTTACACTAAGAGAAATTCTTTTCCTGGAAAAATCCTTAGAATGGGTAGTATAGGGACAAAAGAAAGTCTTTGGACTATTAAAATGTATGGTCTCAGGCTTGAAAGTAAAAATATATCTATTTGCTATGAATCCCTTGTCAAAACTTCTCACAACAATGGCATTGGGAATCCAGTGTGAGGACCTGAGCTCTATCCAGACAAAGGAAATTTGCCAGTTTCCACTGCAGTTAGTTTATTTAACAACTGTGTGCCTGTGAGGAAAGTAATGGATTTATGAGTTCATGTTTTCCAACAAACTCCTCTCTTGGGGATTGGGGGGAAGATTGATTTGCACTCTTGCCAAAAGAGTCTTTGCCCCACAAATATGATTTTGTCAAATGCCTAGCGCAGCCTTCTTGTGTACTATTTATAGTTCTCTGTGCTGTGTAATAGTGATTCAGTATTCACTCATGCAATTCTTATTACAAAAGCATAGAATTAAACAAGTGAGGATCTTTTTCTTTGTAAGGCACTGTTCACTTTGGAATTATTTTGCTCTTTTAAAGAGGAAAAAAGCTACAAAGACTACGCAAACTGCATGAAGAGCTTGTCTAAAGACCAAATGTAAATATGCAAACTAGTCTTTTAAGCTCTTATTTTCCAAGTAATTATGGTCTCTGGAATTGATGTGGTTATAGAGTAATGGCAATGATCATTCAAAAAAGGATTTAGACATAACTGTAGGATACTTTATGTAAGTAAAGGTATTTAAAGCACTCTATATACCACTGAGATATTTTCAGGCAATAAAGAAAATCACCCTTCCTGTAGAAAATGTTTACTTTTGTACCAGCTAGACTGCCTGTGGTAGATCAGATGAAGTCACAGCACAAAGCAGTTGTAAAGAGAATCCAGTGGATTCATCACTGTCATGATGATAGTGAGGGAATAAATAACCTTACCATAAAAGTTCCTGTAGTATGAAAAAGGCTTTGAATTTTTCCTCAGCACAGGGAGAAGAAATGGTGCCATGGAGAGTAGTAGTTCAAAGGTCTAATTTCATTGAAACTAGGAATGCAGTTATTTCTTCATTTCAGTACTGAAGATTATGGGGGGGGGGTAAATTATAATGACTTTTTTAAGATTTGAAACTTTTTTGTCACAGTTTAAAAAGGATATATATTTTGCTAAACAACATGAACCCAGGAAGCTAAAGTAAGACTGTGTCTGTAATAGGTACTTCAAGTGACTTCAAGTATGGACTGCTGCCGGGTACTTCAAGTGACTTCAAGTATGGACTGCTGCCGGGTACTTCAAGTGACTTCAAGTACGGACTGCTGCCGGGTACTTCAAGTGACTTCAAGTACGGACTGCTGCCAGAATCTTGGCCAAAAGAAGCCTGGGAAAATGGCAAGTATATCTGATGGAGAGGAGGTTGGTTTTTTGCCTCTGATAGGGGTTCTTTACCAGCAGTGACACAGAAGATAATATTTGATTAATTTGCTTAGAGATTTATAAGATTAAGTGTTTACATAATCTTCTCTCATACATTATCCAGAAAGGCAAATGATAAATACGAGTACTTCCTTGAAGGGACAAAAAGGAATTCAAATGTATGGAAATGTAAAAACTGCACATGATTTATATCAGCTCTTGTTTTGTGCCTGAATATGAAGATACCGGAGTTCTTTAATGATTTCATAGCTTCCTCCCTCTCCCCTTCTTAGTAAGCTAACTACAGATAAATGGGCTTCGAAATTGAATGCTTGGATGATGAAGATATGAAGTTAAATATAACTTTCAAAGTAGATCTCTGAGCATACTTCTCGCTATTAAAAAATAAAAACTTCATTGCAATGAATTCAATGCAGCCATAACTAAAGCCCTCTTCAGTCAAAGCTGTGTTGTATAACCTACCCTTTCACAGCTTATGTGCCTTTCCTAATAGTTCAAGCAAGCAATTATCTGTAATTATTATTCTGTCTGAAAACATACAAAAACCCCACCACATCCAAAATAATTGTCTAGATACATAAAATACATAAAGTCTTCAGTAAAAAGAGGATCTTAAGGATTGGGTAATAGTAATGCCTACCTCTGCTCTGTGACTTTGAGCTATTACTGGGATGTGGTTTATGGTTTACTTCAAATATTTTGGTTTTTACATTGGAAGAAACTGGGTCATCAGAAGGTGAAATACACTAGCAGGCAAGGGATTAGAACTCTGGTCTTAGTAGGTCTGTCTGTTCTTAAACCATTAAATTCCCATATATCTTAGAGCCCTGATGTCTGCCTGTCTGACATACCCCTGTTGATGTGTATAAGACTGCAATTTACAACCTTTTTTGAACTTATTTTTCTTCATGTAAGCCATTACGTGACATTATGTTGACATGCAACTTGCATGAGTGCTCCGATATACCAAGGCAAACTTTTGAATATTAGCAAAATTTAACTTCCATGTTATGATGGATTTTGAAGCTAGGAGGCAGCATCTTAGTATAGGCATGCAGGCCTGTGCACATAACACAGTTACTTTTGCTTTCTTCCTGCCGGCACGAGCAGTAGAAACTCTCATGCATATAGTCACGTAGCTTTAGCCAGTGCTTTTTGGATGCTTTTTAGATGGTTACAATCATGTTCATAACCTATTTCACCTGTAATAAGTTGAGTCCATACCCTATTCTCAAATAATCCTTGTATTCCTGTGTGGCTGCCTTCATAGCTGTCACAGCATCCTGTGTTTTTCTATTTCACACAGTAATAGGCAGCTGTAGTAAACCTGTTTTGCACGTATCCTTCGAGCAAGCTATGTTATCCTTGGTTCAAGGATATGTAAATAGCTCTCTTCCATCATAAGGAAGAAGTAGGATATTGCTACTTCCAGAAGTTTTTTCTGCTCTCTAATTTTTCTACTGTTATGACAAAATAGACTTTGGGTAGAGAATACCTAAGATCTTAACCAGTAACTTCCCTTTTTAGCTATTTCAGAATTATGCTACCTCTTACTCTCCTACTCCTTTTGTCAATATTCCTTCTTGCTTAGTTATAATTTCTTTTTTTCGTTTATTTGTAGAGTCAGATCTTGGCACGCAGTTCCTGCACATAATTCTAAATAGAATATTGGGAGAGAAGATTCTAACTGTCTAAATGCCGCAGAGCTGGAGGGTTTCTAATCCAAAATAAAGTGGTTTCTGGTATAAGTAACCTCTAGAAAATGGACTACTGCTAACTTGTAGCTAACTTACTCTGATTCATGAAATAAGACTTCTTTTCAAAGAATTGATCTGTACTTCTGTAGTAAAAATTCCGTGATTACAAGTGGGTATTTTTCTCACAAGATCATACATGCAGAACCTACCAGTATTTGTGGTTTCTGCAGGCAGGCATTGTCCTGATTTGGCTGACGAAAAGTCATGTGGGTGCTCTATTGTTTTGGCACCTGTTTATTTTTGTGCACCAGGCAGAACGTATTGAAATAGTTTTTTTTGTGTTTCATCATCTTTTCTTCTGATGGCTTATTTTCTTGTAGGTGATTCCTCTGCTTTAATCATGAACAAATTGAAGTGTCCACACTGTAATTATGTAGCCAAATACAGAAGAACACTAAAGAGACACTTGCTCATTCACACAGGCGTGAGATCTTTCAGTTGTGACATCTGTGGGAAGCTGTTTACTCGAAGAGAGCATGTAAAGAGACATTCCTTGGTAGGTAACCTCAAGAGTGTGTGTGTGTGTATGTACACACGTGTACAAGTTGGTTTTTATGTTTTTTTCAGATGTTTTGGTATTTGGGAGAAACTGTTCTCTGATTTGCCAGAATGTAAATTGCTTTAGCTTAATCTAAAGTAGATGAAGATAAACATCTCTTTGTGATAACTATACCTTTTATATTCTTAATGGAAAATGCCGTATCAATTAAGACAGTTGCTGGAATTCTGATAATTTCAAGATGATTGAAAGTGACGTGATAAAGAGATGCAGTACATGTAAGTATTCTGTAGATAACAAAAGGGAATTCTGGCTTAGTGTTACTGCAACAGAATAGCACATTTTCTATAATGCTGCATCACCATTTTCTGTGAGGACACCCTGTTAATCAGCAGTTGCACAATATCTTGGGGTAGTTCTGAAATACTTATTTCACAACTAGATAAAGCTATAGTATAGTATCTGCTTTAAGATTTAGGAAAGAAAGAAAAATATCTGAGATGCAGAAAGTAAGCGTCCTTCTGACTTGCATTTTATCAATACCATAATCAGCAGTTGGGCTTGCCCTGTCCTGTGCGTGTTGGCGTAACTCAGGATTTGGCTTGTGTACTTTTTATCTGAGGATCCAGCAAAAGTATTGCCTGTCTTGGGTATTTTGCAGGTACTTCGTATCTAGTCTCTAAGGACATTAAGGCTTCATTATAATATTTGCTATATAAAATCCAAGGTGCGTTTTAGGGTAGTAATAAAAGGAAGTTCATATTGGTGATGAGAAGGTAATAACAATTTTCCAAGCTGTGATTTTTAAAAAAATAATCATTTCGCAACATGTTTTGCAGATCCTCAGAATAGGTTAGTACGTGGAATGGGGTAAACTGCACTTCTTCTCCATTTTGTTAGCTTTCCTCAGTCTTTCGAGAATCAATGGACCACCTTGCTCCCTCATTAAGGTGTTCCCTAAGTCTCTGTAGCCTTCTTACAGTTGGTTTTTTGTTCCTCTGTGAGTAGAAACAGTGGTTGTGAGCTTCCAAGTTTTAATATGGATGCAGAAAAGAGCTTTTGGTGTAAGTTTTCCTGACTTTCCTTTCTAGCTTGTGCTATCATGAAAAGGGCTTTCTGTTAGCCAGTAATATTATTAAAAGTAAATAATTACCCAAGTCATATCAGGATATAATTCTAGAACATATGTATAAGACCACTATAGTAATTTTAAGTATTTCTTAAACTGCTCTATGGGTAGGAAAGGCATATGCTAATAGCTCTTACGTAAATTTTAGAACCGGCATCTCTCTTATGTTCCACTGCACTTCTCTCATCTTATGCATCTTTCCACCCTGCTACTGCTGCCTTTCTTCCTCCTCCCATACCATCAAGTGAACGCTTAGGTGCCTGAAGGGAGAGGAGTACCTCTGATATTACTGAGTCTGAAGGACATTATGTTCTGTAGTGTATGTAGACGACTGCAGTGATGGTACGGGGCAGCTCTGTGGCTGGGTAGAGGAGGTCAGGTCATTATCACCTTATTGGTGGTGACACCATGTAACATGTCCCAGCAGCTACTCTACTTCCTTTGTGGCTCACCAGAAAAGATAGCAACAGTGAGCGGTAGTTGGTCTATGAGGAAGAGTAGAGTGGGACTTCAGTATCTGACCAGGTCTTGTAGCTGAAGATTAATTCCTTTTTCCCCTCCAGGAAACAAGATGAAGTCAGACAGGGTGAAAATAGCTATAGAGTGAGCTCAGCCTAGGCTTGTGCTCTAACTGAAGTGTGCTCTCCCTGCCGGAATCAGAACACTTCCCCCCCCATTCAACAAACACCTCAAACATTCTGCTTTGTGTGAAACATTATCACAACAAGTCTAGAGGCTGAGGAAAAAAAAATGTGGTATCAGCCGTACAGATTATACAGCAGGACTAAAGTAACTATTTGTATCTTGACCTTGGGTTTCTTTCCCTCATCTGGGTGGTAATTTCTGTTTTATCTGAAATGGCAACTTTTTCAGTGTGACCTTAAATGAGATATTTAAGCATGTAATTGTAATCTGTTGTGAGGACACCGGATAGAAGAAAGAAGTCTTCAACTTATTTTTTTTCCAAGATGATAACTGTTATACGTGGTTGCTGAATTCAGTTACTTGTACAAGTAACATAATCCCAGATTAAAAATTAAAATTTATGTTTAGTCAGGTTGATAAATAGCAGCTTTCTAATTTTACACAGAAGCTCACTCTACATACAGAACAAAAAATTCACCAAAGGAATGTGGAAAGATGATGTTGAGTTTGGTTGTGTTGGGAGGGTGATGTCATGGAAGGAGGATCTTGCTCTTTGAAGGCACACGTAATTTAATAACTCTTGCTTGTTCTTAATGTTTCTAGGACTTAAAATCGTAAAGGCAATTTTCTAAACGAGAGATGATCCTGTGTGTAACATAAGTGCTTATACTGTTCTCATTGCCTTTCCGAGTCTTGTTCTGTACAGTGAGTAGCTGTAAAATGGACACTTGCCTGCTTACGAAACAGGCGGCTATTCAGCTATATGCTGAACAGTAAGCAGGTAGTTTGGTTCTGGGGTCATGTAGTCAAAATGGATCTCTAGTAGTATTGCTCTTTCTTTGAACAGTCTTGGGGTAACTTTTGGAGGAGTTCGCAAAATGAATTTTTATATTAGTAATTATTATTGTTAATAGCTTTCTAGAACGATATGTAAATGCAACCTGATATACATATTTTCAGCCATTAATATTTCTCTTCCATAGGTGCATAAAAAGGATAAAAAGTATAAATGCATGGTGTGTAAGAAGATTTTCATGCTAGCAGCCAGCGTTGGAATAAGACATGGATCGCGACGTTATGGAGTTTGTGTAGACTGTGCAGATAAATCTCAACCTGGAGGGCAAGAGGGAGCAGACCAGGTGCAGGACACAGATTTCCCTAGGGATGAAGAATATGAGGAAAACGAAGTGGGAGAAGGTGATGAGGAGCTTGGTGATGATGTAGAAGAACAGAATGACCAGTCTCGATGGGATGAATCTGGGGAAGTTTGTATGCCTTTAGATGACTGACAGAGCATATGACTTCGGAGTGCCGAAATGGACACTATATGGATTGACTATTTGAATTTTTGGACTGAAGGCTTGCAAAATATGGTACAGGCTGGATGGTAGTTATGTTGCTGTGAAAAATGTAGGGTTCAAAGCCTTATAGCAAAAAAGGATTATTAATTTTTTTATTATATTTGCACAGGACTGTACAGCATACAACCATTTGGTTGAATTATACAGAGTCCTCACATCTACAGTCAGTTATCAAAAGAAAAATGTATTTTTTATTATTTATAGGATATAGCTACTTGGGTCCTATTCAGACATAGTAGTAACTGTACTTATGTTACACATTCATGTATCTGTTAACATGAATGAAGAAATTTGCAACTTGGTATGGAAATACAAAGACAGCTTTCCCAAATCCACTCGTACTTTGTTAGTGAACCAGTGAAGCTAATTTGGGCTAGTGGCTCTTGTTTCCACAAGCATGTCTTTGCCATACAAACCTTACCTCTCCCGTACTCTGATAGGTGAAAGCCAATCATTTAAATATGCATCACAGATAATGCCAACACCATGTTGAAATTTGGGGTTAAAACTTCTGGCTCTATGCTGGCAGGCGGTATAGGTGATAAGCACTGGAGAAGTTAATAATGGCATTAATTTAGTGTCTGTTTCTTCACAGTTTTGAATTTTCAAGAAGGTCGTTACTGATTTATCAGTTCCAAAATGATCTTTCAGAAGAAGTGACCAATAATGAAAATAATAGACTGATCAGAGCATGGGTAACTCTTCTGCCACTTAGTCAAAAGAGATAGTCATGCTAAAAGGTATCTATCTGATGTAAAAATGTTTCCTCCCTCCTCTAAGGCCCCCCTCCTCTCAAACATTTTGACTTCCCTGGTGTTATACCTCAGTCCCACAGATTGAAAATACAAGGAATGGAGAAAGTGTCATATTAAACAACTTTTTGGTTGATAATTTCTTACTTGTCCGGTTTTTGGCTAGTTTGTGATGTGAATTGGACACTAGGCTATTGTGCCCATTGTTCATCATTAAAATGAACACAAACTATTTTTTATTCTTTTGTACCTAATGGGTTGTTGCTAGTGTTTAATATAAACCAATTACATTTAACTTGTTGACTTAATTTGCTGGATTTTTTTTTTTTTAAAGAAAAAAAGCCAAAATAGTGCTCTTTGAGTTGTCTACCTTTCAGGGTAATGTGCTCCCTACACTCTTTATTTCAAATTTTCTAGGAGGCATTGAAACTTGAATTTTTGTAGCCATGTGGATTTTTTTCCTAAGCTTGTAATATTGTACCAATGATTTCAGGCCTCTTTCATAGGGAGGGGAGGACATTACACCTTCATCTTAAACTCCTCTGTCTTGTCTAGCCTAAGGCAAATGAATTCAGGCAGTCATTGGAACAATACATCTTATGTACTATTATGTCACAACAAGTAAATATGCAGAGCATTTATCATGACACATAGCTAGGCCAGTGTGACAGTACTGTATAAAAAACAATTGAGGGTCACCATATTTTTCAGCTTTGTTTAATTTTAAAATGAGTATATTTTTTCCTATTTTATATCAGGTAACTAAATTATGCTAGTTGTGTGGATAACTTTGAAGTATGTTTTGACGGACAGAATCTTAATGGTGCTCCATCTGATCAAAGTTGGTATGTATTTAAAGAGACAAGCTTTACTGTTGTCCTTTACATCAGTAGAACAGTAACAAAATGTTAAGACATTGTTTTTGCTGATTGAAGCTGAGATAAGTTTGAACTACACTTATGGGAATTAAAATGCTTTTTTATCATCCACTTGTTTCATTGGTAGTTTCCACATCATTGTAAACCTGACAGATTTATTAGTTTTTTGGGGGAGGGTGGGAAGGGTTGGGTACCTTTTTTTTTTTTTTTTTTTTACACTGAAAAATACATCTTATTCTCATTGTTCTAGACCGAAATGAGTAATGTGTAATTCTGGTGGGGTCCAAAGTAGAAATTAGTTGGGCAAAGATGGTATGAATGAAAAAGTATTTTAAACGTTAAAGTAATGTTCTGCTTTGTGAATATGTAAGTATAGCATAAAGATTTTTCCATCCCGTTTATCCCCTTTAAAACCATAGTTTACAATTGGTAGATCTGTCTATATATATAAATATATATATATCTGAGATTCACCTAAATATGCTTTATTAGAATACTGCTCACTTAATGCTTAGAAACTGGACCTGGCTCTACATTCTTAATGTATTTTCCTTTTTTCCATTTTGTTTTTGGGTTAGGTTTTTTTTTCCTCAAGGTATGAACTTATTCTCTTGGAACTGAATCTTCTTTTACTACTTAAATCATTTATGTATATCTGGTAAATTATGACCAAATTTGTTGTTAGACTGCATACAGTAAATTGAAATATACACTTGGTACACTACAGAATTGTTGTGCTTTTGTTCTGGTTATATTTGGAAAAGCAGGCTTTAATAGAAATTTGTGTTACTTATAAATATTCAGTTACTATTCACTGGCCTTAATATTCTTTTGCATTGTGACAATCACTGTTTCCTTGGTAGTACTTAACTGCTCGCTTTTAGAAGTTGCATGTAATTGCCCTTGGTAGGATTGGAGGGAGAGGGATGACTACTGAAATGTGACACTAGCTCTTTAGCACATGGTGTGAAATGATTTAATGGAGATTTACTTTTCTTGTGTTGGAGAACCAAAAGAATTTGTTTGGATACTATCTGCAGTCTGGATTTTCTGAGCTGTTTATTCAGAAGTTATTTTAAATATTTTACTTTGATTGGGGAGCTCTAAATTAATGAAAGTAAATTTCCAAAGAAGTACCTTAAAAGGGACAGCTCAAGTTTCTTTATAATTTCATAAAAAGTAGGAAGAAATTTGTGTTTGCACTAGAAATCATCTTCCCCTTAAGAAATGCTGGAGCTATGCTGTGGTAACATGGCAGTGAATTTTAGTTTCTGTGATTTGGCGGGGGGGGGCGGGAGGGTTATCTTTTTAAAAGAAGAAAGACTAATGTTCTTAAACTGTCTTCCTTATCAAATTAAAAGATACCCAGTCTTTCATTTTGTCTTCTGATGAAATACTTCTCAAAGCAAATGTCTGAGATTTGCTTATTTGGGGCAATGCCACATGAGTAGTTTTATGAAAAGAATCGTGTATGTTATAAAAACAGACAAACACAGATTTCCAATGTTGGGATTTCTCCCTTTCTGTGGGTTTTTGTTTGCTTTCTGGTCTCTTCAAGCAGTGACGGCTATCTTTTAGGTATAAACATACAAAACACTTCCTGGCCGGGAACTGTGATGCAGGACAAAATAAAATCAATAAGTAAATTCACTTTGATCAGAAGTCTCTGTCAAAGTAGGTGTGATGTAAGGAAGACAGACAATGTAAAATGCAATTGTCTCATGCCAATGTTACTACAATGCAATAGCAAGCATTTTTCAATTGTAATGTCAGATGCATCTTGCAGGCAAAGTGGCTTTTTTTTCCAATTGTGTAGAAAATTTTCATAATTCAGTTTGCAAACAGATCTTCTAGTAAAATAAGTTTCTGAAGTGAAACCAGTTTTGAAAGCCAGAAATGATACTTGGTTGTCAACGCAATGATGCACCCTAAGAAGTAAAAGTTGAAATTACTGGTTCCCATAGTATACACTGTTAGTCTTTGAGACGCATATACGTCTGCAAATGCAGTTTTTGAGTATCACTACATGCCCTTGTTCCTTCTGAAAAGAATAAGTGTTATCAGGTGAAGAGAAGTTTGAGGCCGGGACAATGGCATGTGGTATGCTTTTCATTGTGGGTCACAGCAGTAATGCTGTTAGCAGAAGATGCTTTCTTTGCCTAGCTTTCAATTGGTAAGGCTTTTAATAGGATTTTATTTAATGAGGCTAGTCTCTGCGGTTTGCTTGCTTTAAGTTTTAACTTGACTTTTCCTGTTCTTGTCACTCAGTAACACAAGTCTCCCACCTATTCTAAAATATTTCTGTAGTCATCTCAGTCCACACAGGTGCAGAATTCACTTTGCAAGAACTATACCTTGTTGGCTGTTCCTTTGTACTTTGTTGGGTTTAAATGGCTTTGGAAACTAATAAGAGAAACAAAAGCAAGATAATTGACACCACCACTAGCCTGAAAAACTTGTTGTGCCAAAAGAAAGTGAAAAAGGAGAAAATGTGATAAGCAAAAGGCTTTTGGATTTGAGTTGTTCCTCTGGTTTGCTACTTGAATGTTTCGGACGATTCACTGTATTTGTCTCTAGCACAATTTGGCGACAACCTTCTGATGAAGAAGCTATGCAAGAACCCCAGTTTTGAGTTTATTTGGTGTCTCCAGAATGTGGTTCAGGCTCTGCAGAGGTACTACCACTGAGTAGGTTTCTGTAGGTATTTTACCATACACCCTTCTGTTAGCATCTCTCTTCACTATGTAATCTGTTACCCAGTTTTTATTTGATAAATGTTTGCTCCTTAGAACTGAGATTTGCCTTTTATAGGTTTTAATAGCACATTACTGTGTTTCACTAAACAGTATGGTAAAGGTTAAATACTGATACAACAGATAAAAAGAAATAAGCTGGTTTTCATACAGTACTCCAACAAACCTGCAACACAATAAGTCTTTTGTAATACAGAAAATACTGGTTTGAAATCCAGGGGCAGGGGCATTGCTGAGCTGAACCCTTTGAGATGTTGAAGATTACTATGGGCTTTAAAGTACTTTTCTGTGAAAAATGGTAAAAATATACTAGAAGGATCCTATGACTTGAAAATAACATTGGCTTAACAAGTACTTTGTATTTAACAGTATTGCCATTTCAAGTGAATGTTTAAAATAAGCTATACAAATGTTTGGCTTACCTGACTTGATTTGGATTAGCCACTTCAGAATACAGACATAAATAATTTCTCACTAACATATTGCTATGTAAACATAATTTCAAGACTTCTAATACTATGTGCACCAGTCTTTAAGTTACCATACTGCAAATAAATTAAAAAAATAACTATTTCATTCTATCTATTTTTCTATGCCCTGCCTCACCCTCCACAAGTAGGTGCAGAGAGCTTTCTTTGGATGGATAAGTGTTAACATACAATCATTTACTGCAAATGACTTAATTTCTGCTTCTGACATAGAATTTTCTGTAAATTCTATTTTAAGGTTGTATTTTACACTTTGCTTATAATAAGGCAGATCACTTTAAGATAACTAGTTTACAAAAACCAGCATCCCAGATAAGATGTGTATGCCTAACACTGGATTTTAGACAAACTTCAGCGTAACATTGAGCAGATCACTTAAGGGATACTTTAGACACAGTCTAGCGCATACCAGAAGGATTGGATCCCCTCAGAAATGCAGTTGTATTGTGTGCCCCAGAACTTTTGCCTTGGTGTCTTGTTCCCTCTCTCCAGCCCCACCAACCTGAGATGTTAGGAAAAAGTGCTTTCACCTGGGTTTCTCAAAAGCTTCTTGACTGAATAATGCTGGATGTGTGCTTGAACTGATCCTTTGGCTTCTGTTACCTTCCTAAATGAGTGTTATTTTTGGTAGGTTATGCACAAGTGGGTTCCTTCTGATCAGCCCTTTGTCAGTTCTTTCAAGGATTTGAAAACTTCAAAATTTTCTGTTTGCCCTGTAGAGAAAATGTTAGGTTCCATGTCCTGGATAGGTAAGTCTGCTTGTACGTCTTGACTTGGATACTGGGGTTTTCTGAAGACCAGGGCCTCTGTCTGATGAGCTGTTCCTATTGGCTAGCTCTGCACAGCTGTCTATCTGGTAAAGCAAATAAGAAAATCGTCTTGCAGGGGACAGTAGCCCTGGTTTTGAGAGCACCTGGAAAATAACTTGTAGGCCACTGAACAAACTTCTGCATTACTTTTAAAATTATCTGAACCGCGTTTCTCAGAAAACCGTTTTGAATATATT